ATATATATATATATATATATATATATAATTCAACGTCAAAAATAGAAAAACTGTATGACGTATTATGAGGAGAAATGCATTCTGTAAACGTTTTTGTTAATTCTGTAAAAACCATCCTCCCTAACTTATTTACATGTTGAACTCTGAATGCAGTAGCATTAGTGAAGACAATTTGAGGAAATTTTCTAAGGTGTGAAAACGTATAGAGCACTAGTGAATCCGGCAAGGCTTCGCTATTGCATTGTATTACACTTAACATTCTACTGGTCACGTGAATGTTAATCACATTTAACTCCACGCTCTGTAGAAAGTTCACTAGACGAAAGACTTTCTTGCGGGTATGGTTTCGTCTCTGATTTCCTGAGTCTCTCTCGGGAGAAATTTCACAATCGCAGGGGTGGAATACGCAATGAAGACGTCTTAATAATCGTACTTCAGTGTTCAACGGGTTGCATCAAGCGCCGATACGTAGAGCGTCCAATTCAGGGCGCGACTATGTGCGGAAGCATTCCCATCGTACTATGCCTATATTCTTCCTAGAAGTGTAAGCAATAAGTTGACAAAATTTTATCGTCCTATCACCTAGACCCCACCATCACAGCCTATAAAATACTTTGGATTTCACCTGGACACAAAACTAACTTGGAAAAGCCACATAGATATCAAAATTAAACAAGCAACAAATAAAATATTCCAACTCCGGCCACTAATCAACAAACACAAATCCCTGTCATACACAAACTCTACAAAAATTTATAAAGCTATAGTAAGACCACTAATGCTGTATGCATGTCCAATATGGACAAACGCAGCCCATACAAATGTCAATAAAATCCAAGTAATTCAAAACAAATTTATCACATTTATTACAAATGCCCTCTGGTTCATAGGTAATAAACAACTCTATTCCGAATTAAACAACAATACAATAATAAACCAAATAGCCTATATATCACATAATTTCTACCAAAATCTAACAGATATCCCAACAGCATCCCATTTGAAACTACCGAAAAACCCAACCCACACCCGAATAAAAAATAATTCCATTTTCAAGCGTTTCTCAAAATCTTATCTAAACATGAAACATAACCCCGAGGTTCTCCCCTAGAGTATCCTCTCCAATGTATAGATTAAGTTAGCTTAGATATTTTAACTAGCATAAGTCAAAAAACACATCTGTAAAGTAATTATACTGAACTATGTATTACATCTAGAACAAATATATATGTTTATATAAAATAAGTTTTATCGCAATCGGATGAACGGTACGGCAGAGCATTAAGTATGAACCAACAAACAAAAACATTGTCTTTTGTATATAAGATTTAGCATTGCATCTTCAGACAATGACTAACGTGTGGTTCGTGTTAAAACGAGCATACTTGGAGAATATTACAATACTATAATGGTTAATAGTTACTATTACATATTTTTCGATTTATTTGCATTTCTTTGCCAACGCTACCAGTATTTTATTATTTACTAAATTATTTTACTTTCTTGCATACTACTTACGAAGAATATTAGAAGGCTAAAAAACTCATCTGTTATGTTTGTGAATACACGGCATACATTATACAACGAATTCAATGCCAGAAAGATAATTTAATTTCAAAGTTAGAATAAAAAATCTATTGCTTAATCTATTTAATTTTCGCACCAAATCTTCTACGTTTTGAAACGCGTTAATTTGGGGAGAAATTGTGGTGTAAATAGTATTATAACCATTACTAAATGCGAGAAAACACGAGGTTTTAGCACCACTTTAAATACATAAACATTTTATAAAACGTAAAGTCACAGGCTTTAGCTTTAATATAATAGTAGTTTATGCAATTAGTTTATAATGTTAAGCTTAATTGCATAAGTACATGTTTTGAAAACGACTTTAGGAGCGAATTTTCAAATATGTACGAATGTAATAAAGCAACATTATAAAAGAGTTGCATACTATACTTTTTTGTATAATAACATTATACATTGTTGTTACTGCCCTGAGGAAGCCTGCGACATGTCAGGCGAAACGTTGGCCTCCCAGCCAACGCTGCGGCGTCTCCCGGATAGCCGAGAATTTATGGATTCGATCCGCGGTAGCTTACGTGTACAGCTTTATACATTTATAAGAGAATCAAACTTAAATTTTGCGAAACAACTTCCCTGTGACGACTCGGGTATTTGACGTCGTGCGTGATCGGCTGTTCCGTCTAGCTCTACCTCCCCCGATTCTCTCGCTACGATTGGCTGAATGTGTGATGACGCAATCATTCGTCACATAAAATCTAATATGTCATCATTTGTGCATTAAAATGCCCGCCGATTATGAACGATTTCCTACAGCAGAAAATATTATTTTATAGTGCTGGAATCAAAAAAGAATGTTATTCGTTCCTTTCTTCACGATCTGAGTGTTGCCAGATTGTAATAACAGCAATGTTGCCAATCTATTAATCCTCAGAATGCCCGGTGAGGTATGTTATATATAATTTAATATCATCTGATCGCTACTTTACCGCGTATTAAATAAAAGCGGGGGCAGACCCAGAAACAAATGGGGGGAGGCATTTCTCTCTCTCTCTCTCATATATAGGTTGCTGAAAGAACTAGAACAGCCGACGGACATCAATCACGCATCGTGCGTTCCAGTACTCGTGAGACGTTATTCGCTTGGAATACAGTGAGGTTCGATTCCCATTCGTAACTATAAGCCTGATAGAACGCGAGGTTATTTTTTCGATACATTTCAGTCGTTTCTATACGTTTTTCTTGTGCTACTCATTTACACATATTTCTTTAGATTTTACCATTTTTTCCCTCTCCCCCTCAATCCGACAGTGAGATATTACATCGTGACCTGAATTTGAACAGTTTTGTTGGTTGCGGAAAGCAACAGATTATCTTTTATTTAATTATATTAATTCGCGGTATGATGGATTCCCCTTGTCTGTTGCCTCACTCTCTATTCTTCCACATAATGTACGCAATTTTCCTCTGATCTACGTTCCAATTTCTCACTATATAATCTTAGACTATTTAAAATATCCAATACAGTCAATGATTTTGTTATACACTCCGCGGTTTCAATTGATTTGTTTAGTGATTCTATGGAGTGTTGCGTAATGTGTTTCATTATGTAAACGCCTAAGATGGGTAATGTGTTTATAATCCTTGAAATGTGTTTGAAATTGGGCATAATGCCAGTTGGATTTAATTTTGAATAAATAAATAATTATATTATATTTACAAGAGAATACAAGTTACTTTTTGGAAACAACTTTATGATGTCATGGGTACTTTTCAACAGCAGAAAAAATAAGAATAAAAAAATCTGGTCGGCTCTATGGTTTACCATCACTATTGTGATAGGCCTTGTGTGATGATGCAATTATTCATGCCATAAACGGCTAATGCGCATTTATCATAAAACGCAAATTTACGAATGTATTACAAATGAAAAATGTAGTTTACAACTCTGGCATGCAAAACAAAACACCACTATAAATTTATAAAATAATTCAAAATTAAGTTTTGAAACAAATTTCAAAAGCAGTTTTGCATTTTGCAACATAGTTGATTTTATGCAGTTATGCAGGCAGGGTGGACAGAATCTACTAATACTGTAAGTAGGTTCAGTGACATGGCATTTTATAAACTTTTCTTGCGGCAGAAAAGATCATTTATAATGTTGGTCTACAAAAATGAACATAAACGGTAGGTACCTCCTCTTTTAGTGTAATACTAATTGAAACCTGTTGAATACCCTTTTATATCTACTTCACTAAACTCTAAACAGAAGTTGTATCTTCTAGACTGCCTGAAACACTGGTAGGTTCAGTTTAATTGGTAAATATCTAGGCAATTTTGGAGCATTTTATTTTTTAGAACACATTGATAAAAATAATTCCACATTTCACATTCTTGATTCAGCCTTGACAAATGAACATCTTCATCTGCCTCAGCTCCTAAACCAGTAAGTTTCAAAAGATTTACCATTTCCAAAATTCATTGTGATTTAAGTATTTCAGAATAAGCCAGGAATTAAGAAATGCAAGGATAAAAGATAGAACATGAACGCCAAGACAGATAAAGGGTATCATGTGAAAGGGAAAGAAAGCAGAATTATAATTGGTTCAGGAAGAAAACCTGAGAGAGATTAAAAGAACAAGTCAAGTTTTGAAATGACTAAGGAAAGGATTTCGACTCAAATAATCAAAATTCTTTACAAAATCTATATATTTGCTCAAGCCAAATAATTTGTGGTACATACATATTTCAACTCTGCTAAATTGTGTTACAATAATTGAACAATGGTCATCCCCAGACCAGCTTGGTAAAAAAATGAGATTACTTGCAGTTACTATCATTTATATTCCACAAAATACAATAACTTTGAGATTTTGCGAAGCTCAGTTAAACAAAGACTTTTTAACGTAGACTAGACCTGCATTTTGTGCTCAGCACCACCAATATTTTGCATACAAATATCCCTTCAAGTTAGAAAACTTATTACATTCATGTAAAATCCACCAAGATTTGATAGTACAAATTTTTAATTTTAAAAACAGAAATATTTATTACATTATTTTTAATGTCATTATTTTAGCTACAAATTATGTTGACAAGAGTATTTTAGCTGCCACAGTAATAGAATAGACAATCTCAGAAATATCACAGAATAGGCAATTAAAAACTTTAATGAGTATCTTGCCTGATTTTGAGAAGTCAGATTTTCAAAGTACACCCGTCATGACAGGAAATTGAACTGACAAAAATGTTTTATTGCTTTCTCACCAAATTAAATTTTATCACATGAATGAGTTACAATTATTGTCAATATTTACACATTGAACACACGCACAGTAATTCAATTAAAAAACTGAATATCTTTTTTTTTATTCTGTCTATTGGTTATACAACTGTTTTTGGTAAAACATGTTTACAAAACAGACAGGTTATGCGGTAAACAATTTGGTAACATTTGAACACCAAAAAGAATGTAATTAGTCAACCTGAAGGGACTTGCTCTCTTTCAATAGCCTGCAGCCAGATCTCACCCACCCATATTGTATATATTGGTACTTGGGATTGGACAAAAGTAAGCCACACAACAAGTAAATTTGAAATAAGTACCTTCTTAGTTTCTATTAGAGGTTGGTAAGCCACTGATGAAGTTTTAATACAATAGAGTAATGTATGTAGTATGTTTTCGGCCTGTGTCATACGGTTGTTAAGTAATAAAAGTAGATTAATGTTATACCTTATGTGAAAACAGCACACCAGTGCTTACCAGTCTACATAAGATACAGTGTTAATCTACAATGTATGATACTGAACAAGCATCAATGCAAAACTCGTGTGACATAGGCATTAATATAATAAACACAGGGATTTCCAGAACTCTTTGAAATTTCATTATCCCTTCCTATAAAAGCTACTTCACGCGGCTTACTATTATCTAAATCCAAGTACCTCATATATAAAACTAGACAGAAAGAAGTCAATGGTTCATTGATCTAGTAATATCTAGTAATAACAAGTGTGTGAACATGTACTACCGCAGTCTTGCCAAGGAAATGAAAATCCCAAGAAAACAAACAAACAAAACTGCCTTTTGTTTTGACTAACAAGGCATTTGCTTTTAAGGTGACATGCAAAGTTACAAAATAAAGAATTTCGACATTCAGTAAAACAAATTAAAGTCGCTAATAAAAAAATGTACATATATATTTGGTAACCAATACTAAAATGCATGCCTCAAATGAATCTCATAGTCATACTTTATACTCTTATTATGTACTTAATCCCAAATTGTCATCTGTACAAAAACTTTTTTATAAATCTCCCAAAACAAGAAATAGATAAAACATGATCTACACACTACTCCATCTAAGGCATTTAGGGCACTTTCATAGCTGTACAATCAGCATATTTTGGTCCAAGGTATATGGTCCAAATAAAAATAAAAATCATTGTATTTTCAGCTCACATTGTGCAGGTAGCAAGAAATGTGCCTTAGGATAACACAAAAAATAGGAAGGTTTGTGCATGCACAGAAACATACTGAAGCAAAATGCCTGTGAATTTAATTCACTACATACTTGAGAAAATTACAAATGGCACACACATGAATGTTTGTAATTAGTTCGAATAAATTAAATAAGGCAGTTTGCCTTTGCGTTTGGCACTTGCTGAGTTCGGTCGAGTATACTAGGGCTGAAATGGGTAGGCATAACATCAAGTACTGACACTTAACAATTACTCTAAGGACAGGCCAGAGTGCTTTGGTCATGGTAACTGAAAAGTGGCAAATTTTCTGGACAAGACACTACAGACCCTGGGCACATGTAATATACATTTTACAATACAAAATATAAGTTCTCAAAATTCAATATTCAAATTCATAAATTTCAGTTGAAGACCTGAGAAAGTTATTTCAAGATTGTCACTGCATTGGTGAAATAAACAAATAAAAAGGGTTTTAATTATAAAAAGTAATTTTATTAATAACAGAAAAATGTTCACTAGGGCAATTAACTAATCAAGATCCAAAAATTTAAACAATTAAGCAGTTTTTGATAATAATAAAAACAAAACACCTCTCGTAAATGGTGTAGGAAGCAAAACCTATACTACTCTAGGTGACCAGGGTTCAAATGTGTCTAGTTCCTTTGCCACAGGATGAGGCGTCTCCTAGTGGATCTAGACCCTCAAGAGAGCAACAGAGCAACTCCAACACACAACGACTCATTAGAGTAGTCTGTGTATCCTGCCATCTTTCAGACTACAGGTCTTGCTAAACAAGAATAAAAATATTTTGGTAGTAAAACTATACATATATGCATTAAAGTATACTATATTATAGTAAATTTTCAGCAATTTATATTGCTAATATTACATATTAGTTGTAATTATATAGATTTAACAACCTCAAAAGTTACGTGTAAAAATATAAAAATTAATGTAAATGGATATACAAAACATGGAAGCAAAGCTGTTTCTTCTCAGGTAGAAGCTGCCTATAGTAAAAGATACAGTCTTGAACACTTGTGCAGGAAGCCTCAAGGACAAATCATGAGATTCAGAGAGAACATATGATGCATTCAAGAAGAACTTTCTTAGCCTTGAATTTAGACTAGGTCCGCACATAACATGAACAAACATCCACGTGGGTTTACATGCAAACTTACTGGCCATCAAGTTGCTCTGTTTAAGCATTATTTTTAGAGAGATTCCACCAATAATTTCTAACAACTGAGAAGAAATCTCTGCTTTGATCTCAACAGGTACCACATTTCTAGGTACCAATTAGTTAAATACATAATATAAAAGAAAGAAGATGCTCTGGTTGCTCTTGGCTGGACAATCTTTGGCTTCACACTAACCTCTGCTCTGATTGGGAAAACACGAAATTCTAAACACATTACTATACAAAACTCTCAGAACTGTAAGAGATTAACAGCTATGCACAGGTAGAATACAGACCACCTACAAAGTTGCTCATCTCCAGCACACTCCAGAAAAGAGAAAAGATCCAGGTGCATGGCAGTTATTCACTAGTAGCGAGTTAAAAAGAAAGAGGTAATTAGAAAAACAGAACGCTGCTTTAAGCTTTGTAGTGATCTGTGTTGCGAATGGCACAACACAAAAGGAGAGAAAACACAAGGCCTATAATCTCCAATACACAGATAGTAATGCCAACTGCAGTCACCACTGTGGCATAGGTCCGGAGGATGTCGATCAATTTGTCAATGCATCCCTGAAACACAAGGTAAAGCTTCTGTAACTTTATGTCTGCCAAGAAAAGCAAGTATAGGAATAAAAATAATAGTGGTATTTCAGCATAAACCAAATGCTAAAATTTGATCAGTTTGTCTTTCCTTTCTTTCCCTACAGTTTTTGCACTATTTTTTAGTATCCAAGTTACACACGCATGCATGCTTGCACTCTGAATCTAGCACACTAGTTCTTTCAATTTAAATTGTACAGCTTCATTCAATGTAATATTTTATTAGAACAAAAATAGTGTCTCAGACCACAACAGAAAATACTCCTCTTGTATATTGTTGGTTTAGTGCACATATTTTGTACGTCTAGAATATGAAGTTTCCAGAAAACCAAGCTTAAAAGTAAAGTGAAGGTACTTATGGGCTGAGAATGTTTGCTTTCTGAAAAAAAAAAAAAAGCACGATCCTTCTTATATGGATATACAATCTTTGTACATTATGGAGGCTCCACACATACAGCAATCAGCAAATCTCGAGCAACCCCTTGCCAAATCCCTAGCAGATATGAATTAGGTCTTCAAAAATTATATTAACTCAAAAATGACCACGAGTGGATCCAATGTTTGTGCACTATGCCATTGCTATTTCCTTCATGATTCATGGCTAAAAATAGTTGGCTGTTGTGTCTCAAATAATAACTGTTAAAAGCACAGGGAAAGTTTAAAGCTAGAAAATAGAAGAACAAGGTTTTCAACTCTAGTTATTGATGCACTTGTCAATATGACTTGCATCATTGACACAGCTTTTGGCAAAGAGACCAAGCAAGACTGTTGCTTAGTGTTTACAACAGCTTAGCTTACACTAATTAATTTTTCACTAACTAATTAATTTATAAGATTAATAAAAAATGCCACATTAGAGAGGATGATAACTTCATGAAGCAATGTGCACTCCTTTACATACCAAACCTTAAAGGGAAAAGCAATCATAATATCATTTACTTCCTTTCTACAGGGTCTAGATGTCTTGAAAACAAAGGATGCTGATGGACATGGAAGGTGCTGGCAAAGTGTGCGAGGAGGAACACGTCAAGCACATGGTGTCAAGTTAGATTTTAGTGAAGCGCGAGAAGAATGGCTGAGTTGAAGCCAGATCTGCGGACTTTACAGAATCTGAAGAAAAAGGCTTAATGAGGTGATACTTGGAACCCATAGAGGAAAGCAAACAAAGCAAAGAAGATATACATGTTGTTATTGTAAGAAACCAATGGTGAAAAAATTGCATTTTGTAAGAATCATGAGACCCCTTATCACAAGAGCAGGCAAGTTAGTATGAACTGAGATAAAGACAAGGTTGGTAAATATAGTGATCAAACTAGATTTAAGTGCTGCCCTTAGAGCCATCCTTGATAGAAAACAAGTCAGAATAAGAAAACAGAATATATTTGAAAAATTCTCTACTCTTGAAACAAAATTGACAGATAAGCTCTCAGCAGCAAAAAGAAGGATTGAGTGATATTGGTAAGGAAGTTAAAGAATTAGGTGGTAAAATAAAGAACCTTACATAGATTTTTATGGATTTGAGGTGAAGTATGAGGAACTCAAGGCTAAGGTCAATATGGAGGAGGAAGCACAGAAGAATCTCATGAGAAAGTTGATAAGTTGGAATGCAACCTTGCAAACAAGGCTCCTTATACTGTGCAGATCTTTGAGGAAATGGAAAAATGGGTTCTTTAAAAAAGCAATGTATAAGGAGTTGAATCCCTATTTTCCCGAAATTTTATACATATATACTTCATCTCTTACAGCTAAATCTTATGTATTCCTGGTTGAAATTAATCAAGTTCAACCAGATATTATCCTAACAGAAATAGGGCTGTTGCTGCACTTACCTGATCCAATGATAAATATTTTGGCTATAATATTTACAGCAATGATAGACAAGATACGCAAGGAGGGGGAGTAATATATGTTAAGCATAAGATACAATTGCGAGAAAGTACAGTATTAAGAATACATGAAGTAGACCCAGTCCGAAATCAGTTGGGGAGTAATGGCCATTTGTAATACCAAGGCTACCTCCAATTCATGAAGATAGTCTTGAATGTGCCTCTTGCATATGTTTCAAATAATGAACTGCAATTCTATGGGGATTTTTGGATGATTTGGGGTCCATTTGGGAGGAAATAAATCAGGCGGTTTCAATCATCTGGGAGCAAGCGACGATATTTCAGCTGCACAGTGACCATAGCATCGCATCACTACTTTCATTCAAATTTTAGTCGGATGATAAAACCGACAAGATTTAGGGCAAATCAGAGTTCAGCATTGCTTGACTTAGTTCTGACAACAAATGAAGTTTTCAGCAAAAGAATTATATCACACTGCTTGACTGGAGACCACAAATTCACTTGAGTGATCATCCTATAACAGTCATACAAATTGAGACCATTAAGGAGGAAGACTTAACAGCTGAGAATGTTTCACGACTAAATTACTACAGAGCTAATTACAATGAAGTATGTGAGTCTCCGTCATGCATCCGTCCGGTCAATATCAACTTCGATTAACTCGTACAGCAAAAATTTACATATTAAAGGCATTTTGTCTTAAGGAGACCAAACCACACAATCAACATAATGGATATCCTTGATCTGAAGAAAAATCTATTCTACATACTTCAAGATATTAAATATGAAAATGTACTAACAATATTGAAAGCTCTGAGCTATAATTATTCAATGGTCATTGTAAAGAAGTACTACTACTATCGAACATTTTTGAACTGCAGATATCTATTAATTGCAGACATTTTTTAAGTTTTCTGGCACCAACACACAGATTTATTGGCAATACTACTTCTCATTAACAAACATTCTTAATAACAGATCTGGACACTGAAAACTTGTTTCCTCCATAAAATTAAAATTTTTGACAAACGACAGCATTCAGGAATTATTCCTCTAATTTGACAATAAAGCACAGTATTTTAAATGCAAATACATTGTTTCCTATTACTACCAAACATTTATTTTCAGAAGCGCATTCTTTGCAAGTATTTTGAGAAGTGTGCATTTCAAGTGTTACAATGACGCAGAAATACAAATAACTCGTGGAGCAAACGGAAAAGTTGAAATGTTCAGTCTACAAGAAACTTCACGATCAAGACATTGTTCTAGCTGTTGAAAAAACACACAATAATGTAACAAGAAAAAAGTGACAACCTTAGACCGTGAACTGGAAATGAAAAATGTAAAAAAAGCTCTTTTCCCAATTCAACTGAATTGAATGTGAAAAAAAGATTTAAATATACTGTATGTATTTAGTTAGTTGAATCTATGAAGAAAGAAAGAAACAAAAACACCATCATATTCATAAAATATTGCAATCCTATTGCATAATGTCAAACAACTTTCTGAATAGCAGACCCTTCCTAAATAACAGACATTTATCTTTCTCTAGGATTGTCCATTATTGAGAAGTTTGACAATAGTTATTCTAACGATTAGAAAAGCAAACTAATAAATACATTAGCATATACACACCTCACTGTAGATTTCGGGATTGACTATGCTTGTGTAACCTCCACCTTGAGACACTCTACACGCATCTGAGCCTTCATGGCGGCAACAAGAACTTGGGATATTAAAATTGATACCAAGAGCACTAACAGCAAGACTCAATTCTGACTTTGTAGACTGCACATCATATTTTGAATGCTTCCAGTCAGATGGACCTTCTGCTCCACAGCAGTGTAACTGTAAGAAAGAAAAAAAAGTGTCTTAAAAATGTAGTGGCCTATTACATATCAACACTTCTTGTGACCTTTTACACAACACAACTGTTTGCAGCTGCTCAACGCAATAGAAATTTATTACACTACAGTCATGTCTGTATTGAATAAAGGCGTAACCTCATGAGTGACAGAAGTGAAAAAAATTTATTTAGGTAGTGTCTTGTCAGTCAAGAGTAAATTTGCTTTAATTGTATTCCACTTATTTCAATAAAATACAATTAAAAACTTGTGTTATTTACTTATATTAGGGAATTATTATATACAAATAAAAGAGTAGTTGGAAAAAAAATATACTAGCATTATGAATTATGCAATATTGTAAGGAAAAGTGCTGTTTTTTGACAGAAAAGTACAATATGATTTATGATACAATAGTTTACAATAGATTACACATGATTTAAATAGAATATTTCAAAATTCTTCTTTTCTATAGAATGCCGATGATCAAGTTGTATTGTGTTGTTGATACTGTGCACAATTATCGTAAACTTCAATTTGATCTCAATTTTTATTAAACAGTGTGCTGTGGAACACCCTGGACAGAAAGTTGACAAGTGTGAAATGATGTCATTTACTGGATCAAGGAATCCAACTTTTCTTAGATATGGGATTGGTAATATTGTATTAGAAAGTTTCCTAGTTTGGTGTTTTGGGAGTGATATTTGGCCCAAAAAGGAGTTTTCATTTGCACATAGAATCAATAGTAAATAAAATAGAATGTTAGGATCTGTGAAGTGCTGAACTACTGATTTTGATGATTTACAAACCATGAAAATGCTTTATATTTCACTTATATGACCAATATTGGTTTATTCTTCACAAATTTGGTCATCCCTTCATCAGATACACTTTACTACGCTGTAAACTGTTTAGGGGTCGTCCATAAATACCAAACGCTAAAGAAGCTGGACGGAGTTTACACGCATTACATAAGAGGTAGGGATTTAGTTAATCATTACATTATGTTGATATTGTGCGTTTATTATTCAACATTTGTTGAAATAATTCCTTTTTATTTGGTCCTACACCAAAACATTAAAATATTAACATACCAAATTGAAAAAATATAAATAAATGTAAATGTTATGATGTTTAAATATTTACAATAATAGTAAATATATCTTCATTAATGATTGAATATTAAACACACAGAAAATATTTGAAACTAATCTACAGTATATTCTAGAATACAAATACTGAAACAGTAAATTCTCATCTATGTGTTCTCCACAACATGTTCACAACCCCGAAAATTTTCTTGCTAATGCTTCCTTCCTTCCTTCCCTTAAAAACGGTCTCCCAATGTTATTGTAGGTGCAGTCAGAATAGCCAATTAATTCTGACTTTAATTGTAATTAAATTCAATACATAACACAAGAAAATTACAACAAATTTGTTTTTTGTTACATAATTTTTAACTTTTGGAAAATATAGAGAGGGGGTCCGCAGCTTTGACCATTATTGGAGGGGGGGGGGGGTGCACGCTCTAACGATCCGTTTACCCAAAGGATCAGGGGGGGTTCGTAAAAGAGGGTCTTGTCAGGGAGTCTTGATTGGATTGAGATTTTCATTCAGATCGCACTAATGATAATAACCAGAAAATTCCAGCTTTCCTGAATATCTGGTTGGTATCAAAAGCAATGTTCTCCAGGAGTGAGGATATTTTAGTTGCTCCCAAACATACAGAGGAATGTACGAACTCTTGCAGAGGGCTTGTCACTCAATTTGAATGAAGCATGTTGTGTGCGCGGCATGCCGATACACACACAAAAGTCTCGCTTTGAACTGATTTAAGCTTATAATTTAGCAAAATTCTCCCACTTGAAACAGTAGATTTCCTTCAAATTGCATATATTGATTCTTCAAGATGCTAGCTACCTAAAGAAGAATTTTTAAATACACTTTCAACAGTTAATTTTCTGCCTTCGATACGTGACTGACTTTTAAATTGCTTATTGATTGTGTGGTTAATATGGGTCACAAATCACTTGGTTTTTTGATGAGACTAAACGTAAAATTAAATCTACTACAGTATGGAGACGTATTTAATATATTACTTAGAAACTAAACTTGAATATGCAAGTGCCATTTGGTCACCACATTTTGTTGGACTAAAGACAAAATTCGAATCAAGTCAAAATATCTTTAATACAATAGTGCTGCATTATATACCAACTGCAGGCATCACCAATGAACATCTGCTGTCTAAATTCAATTTGCAATGCTAGGATTAAAGATGCAAAATAAGTCAATCACTTAGATTATAAAAATAGAAAGAAATATGATTACTCTAATCTGTTCACTCAGATTTTATTGGCGGTTCCCCAGTTCACTTCATGACATTATAATGTATTTTATCTTCCACACACTTCTGATAATTATATTTTTAATTTATCTCTTTTTAAATGTTTAAAATGAACTAATGATTTTTTCATCAGTATTCCAGTGATATAGATATTTTTTCTGATGCTTTGTACACTTAAATAATAGTTTTTCCACAAGTTTAGTAAAGAAAACTTACCACTTGCATACATGTTAAAAGTGTATTCATCTAATTTATTTTTTCTTTTAGATAGGAAGTGAAATATTTATCATTATTGATGTAAATGAAGGTTTATTTCTTGTTACAAATAAAAGGAATTTTTTGCATCAACATTGTATTAAGTATACCAAATGCATCATATCTTCCTGTGCTTTGTACTTATCTTCGTCCATTATTCAAGGGCTGATGTAGGAAAGTTGACTGCTGATGAATGATACGCTGACCCTGACTTCGGATGTCAAGAACGTTGATAGCATATTAGCACCTTGAGAAACAATGCTTCTATTTCAAAAACTTCAATATATAATGTCTGAATTAAATTAATTACTGGGTTGGTGTTTCCAGGTGAAATTATAAACAATATGTACAATGCTTTACGATTTCTTAATGTAGAGAAAGTTTATTCTTCATTACAATGATGAATTAGGATGGCAACAGATTTCATCAAATCATGAATGCCATGTATATTCCCAGTACGTAAACCTCAGGATATATTTTTTTCACATAGTGCATTTTCAGGTTTTATACTAAATTACATAAACGACAACTTCATTCTCTTTTGAATTTTCTTCTGATGCATCTTTTATATATATGCTTTATATCTTTGTTAATTTTGTTGTTATTATTTAAACATATCATTACAAATACATACAGGCAACCTACTACTATATGAACCTTATCAACTGGTTAACTATTCTTTACCAATAAAATAAGTTTAAAAATGTAATTTGAGTATTTTTTTTTTTTTTAAATCTACAAGAAAATCACTAACCTCTCGTTGAATTGTATCAATAGTAACAGTACGAGAAGGCACCACAAAATACTCTTCTTTAACTGTGTACTTCACATTCTCTTTCAATCTTTCCACAAGCACCTCCTTATTGGAATAAGCCCAAGCAGCAGCTGCCACTTCAGCCACCAAGATAATCAACAAGAACCAGAAGAACTGCAAACAAAGCAAACATTTTACATTTCTTTGTTATAAATGAAATACCACCATAAAAAGCTCCATGTGTATTAAAACAATCCACAAAAGGGAACATTACATGCTCACTTTGCTTATTCAATAATGTTTATATAAAACAAAATTGAATATGCTGCAAGATTTTGAGAACAAAACATGCGGCAGAAAGACAAGTTTAAACTTAATTACAAACTATTAAATGCAAGGGTTTAGTTTAATGAATGAATAGTGGAAGCCACGAGAAATTAATTCTTCTAGAAATAAGTAAAAGTAAATTCAGAGCATTTGTATTTATCGATTAAAATATTTGAATTTTCTCAATTCTCCAAGTGAATTTATATCATAAAGATTTTTAACTAATATGCCAGGTGGAATGTTGAATGTTTAATCTAGAATTTACCCTCACTTTCTTCCAATCCTAGTAATTATTATGAAAAACAGTTCTAGAATGAAGTGGGATTGTTAAAAAATCCCCTTAACTTCTCTGAAGGAATTCTGAAAATCTTTACTTTTTCTATTTTTCTACAATTTACTATGATGGCAGAGTTTTGTTTGGCTATTTAAAAGAAATCATTTCACTAAATTAAGGTTTCCACTGCAGCAGAAGTAGGATCACATTTTTTGAGACACAGAGAATCTGCAGCAAGCTTTCTGTATACATTGATAATGCTTAATTTGTAACACACTCAAAAAGGGCCAAAAGCTGTAATAGCAAAAAAATGAAATTAGGATAGTATATTCTGAATAGAGAAAGTTACATAACATTGCAGGAATAATTCAGTATTTTGAAGCAAAAACAGCTCTTTTTACATGTTCCCAATACTAAAAAATTGATTGTCTTTGCCCTGTATATACAATATTACTTTTATTATTGATGTAGCATATTAAAATGTATCTTGGATTCCTTAGTACCAACCATTCCCCCCCCCCCCTTTAAACAGTTGGTGATCATCATTAGTCCTTCAATCTCACACAAGATTTTCATTAAAATGAAGATTTTCTAATTTATTACGTTACAACCTACTAAAATTGAAACAAATCTTAATTTTGGGAGTATTTTCATAAAGCACCTAGGATGTTTTTGAAATTTCCTCAGAAATGGCTCCAAATATTTTCTTTCTACATCAGTTCGAAAATAGAAATCAATGGATAGGTCCTAAGCAAATTTTGTAAGTGTACTTTCTTATACTCCAGAAAAATATTTAGAACCATTTTCGAAAAAATCGTGTAATTAAAATCGCCTTTAAAATATGCATAAAAACTACACATATTTTGAAAAGAATGTACACAACATTAATTGAAGTAAGTGGGCAGAACAAATTCCATTCGTTCATTTATCACTATTAGTAAATATCTCTATCTTCCATGAAGTAGTTTTACAAGGAGATGATAATGATAATAATAATAATAGTAATAAAAAATTGGAGTCATTTTTCAAAAACTGTTTACAATGACCCACGGCAGCATGTGATGTACACACCAAAAATTCAAGAAATTGTTTCAAATTGGCACGGCCTTGAGATGGATCAGATCAATCAAGAAGTATTATAGAAAATATCCTACAAGTAGTTTACATGCTAGTGTCGTTCACAGACAGATTGCTCAGCAGAAAGCCAGTTTGAAAAGAAAAATAACTACTTTCAGTATCAGGAGACCTTAAACATGTATTTCCATTAAAATCTCAATATCTATTTTCTGTAGCTTTATATAACTTTCTCTGTACTTTCATTATTCCATATATACAAATGTAAATGGAAAGTACAATATGTAAACAAGATTTTTTCTTTAAATGTTTTGCTTGACTATAACAAGTTCATTTTTCAGTGTTGTATAGATATTAGAAACTTCTCATTACAAACATTGTGAAAGTTTGAATTTTTTGGTATCTGCCTACAACAAATACATTATGAAAAGATAAGAGATTTCTTTTGTAATACCATCTAATCTTCAATAGCAGATCTCTAAATTATTTTAACCTTGTTTAAATATTAGTCAATTTCATGTAATATTGATGTTCATGATGACTTGTTACGAATTTCCACAAAATGAAGTATTAATTTTGCATTTGAAATGCACCATGAATAATATAAGAATATTTTTCCCCACCCCAATTTTTTTCCCTTGAAACTTTTGGAAGAATAGGGCACAATACACAGAATTCAAGGGCAGAAAGTCATTTAAACTTTAGAATATTTTAAAAATTAAATATCCAAAGTTTAGTTAGTTTTCCAATGACGGTTTAGTGTTAGACGTTGCAATATTTTATTACATAACCATTACCACTACAAGAACTTGTATTGTAGTAGCACTATTTGTTTGAATAATCATTGATTTACAGCAATGTCATTAAATTTTATTTCCACTTCTCTATTAACATGCATCTTACTGACTTGTACACAATTGAAATTACATTAATGACTCAATAATATTATTATTACTGTTATTATAACTCTCTTTGATAACTTCAACACTATCTGATAACCATCAAAACTGCATTCAAGAAATTAGTGGTATTATGTGAACCTTATCATGTATTAAAACATTTTTGTTTCTCAACATCATCTGAACCAACCTGAGGTTACTTTTACCATGTTCAAACATGAAGGAGTTAATTAAACTAAGATTGACTTCGATTTACTTACTGTAACCAGCAGACAAGTGGATTCTTTAAACGCTCCACAGCAGCCAAAGAAGCCCACAATGAACATCAAAAATCCAGCTGCCAATAAAAGGACAAGGCCTGTAGTGTAGTGAGAGGACTGCTGAGTTACACTTAAGTAAAATGTTGAATCAGTAAGCATCCAAATTGACACACCCAAGACTACAACACCAGCCAACTGAGGAAATATAAAAAACAAATAAAATGTTAGTTCCAAAACTCTTTCAGTTTCACAAAATGTTCCTTCACAGTCCAAGAAATTGTATTCATACAAAACAAACAGAACATATTATTTCAGTATACAGACCAAATTATAAACAATTAAAAAGTATTTCCATCTACCATCTACCCACACAAATGAACTACATTAATATACACAATTAAATGTCTGAAATGGAGAGCCAAATACTAAACAATGCCGAAAACCGTGATAATGAATACATACTATTAATTTGTAAGTCTGATTTATTAACTGGGGAGGATCACACAACACAAACTAATTTATAGAACAAAATATTACGTACCTACTCAGGGTACCAGCAATAGGAAATTAAAAAGAATTAATTTCCAATAAATTATAACTTATCTACTGTTGTACTTACCCAGAAAATCAGATTGACAAACACGAGAAGATACTTGACAAGAGCGTAACACCCAGACAACGCCATTTTCTGTTCTTGATTGTAATTTACGATATTAAACTTAATCTGTCAAAGATAACTCCTACTGACAGAGTCCCAGGCCAAGTAGATTTAAACGCTTTTCTCGATGACTACTTGTTTCCGAGAAACTGTCTTCGCAACTCCTCGTCACCTTTTTGAATCATCCGTTGCGTCCACTTGTGTCGGAAATGGCGATGATGTTTTGCGGGGAAAACAGGGTGGGGGCAGAACGTGGGCGGGGACTGGACGAGATCACTGCTTCTCACGGTTTCCCAGATTCTTCAACGCTGTTTAAACATTTTGATGTGAGTGTCAGGTTATCAACTTCTGATCTCTATATTTAGCTCAATCATAACACATGGAATACAATTAACATGGGAAAAACTATCAATAGCTGATCTAAGATCCACAGAGAGAACTAAAGCAAGGTACCTGAAGAGAGCCCTGTGACTTCCAAAGAACAAAAAATCAAGATTATTTTTCAAACATTGCCAATATTGCGATTTTTTAAAATTTATTTTTATTTATTTATGTTAAACCTTTACTCATCTTTCAACTATTTATAGTTAAAATGACGGGAAGGGATTCTGGAACTCAAGAAAACGTGCGCAGATAACCTTTTCCTCCCTACGTCACACACAGTTTTTACTGTTGTTGTTGTTGTTGTTTTTTGACTGAATAAATCTAAAGTATACGAACTGACCAGAGAACCGTTCTACATTGAGGACTTAGGATTCCAATTATCAAAAATACTACTACCATCCGCCAAGCAAAGTACACAAGTACTAGAAGAAGAAAAAACGAAGAGAAGAGAAATATGGGCAGAATTGTACTCAACAGATGCAATGATAGAAAGAAAATGAACAGAAACAAACCAGGAATTAAGACACTTGATGACAAGACTGGCAACTCATGGGTTTCATCTCAAAATATGCGCAACCTCACATCACCATAAAGTGAAAGAAGACTGCGTGTGCTTGCTATGTGGTGAACAGTGAACGATATCATATTCAAGGATGCCAGAAAAGAACTAAAACAGTGACAGAATATAGCAAAGTACATTAATTACACTTTTATGCACTTTCGAGCGTTCTTCATTGTCCATTCTTAGGGATCAGTAGTTTCAACATGGACGAATACCATGGTATTTAGTTTACTAGTTCATTACTGTTTTTAATTTACCATAGCGCATACCATGCGCAAGTTTTCTTGATATTCCACAGCGGGAGGGGGGGGAAGGGCTCTGACTACGTCACGGCTTAAAAGGGCATACCAATTGTGGGCATGAACGTAACGCCCCAAAGCGTACCACGAGAATGCTACGATTGTTTTGAAAATACGAGGTGATTGTCGCCAGCATTGTAAAGTGGTACGTGCCGTTCCGAGTCGAGCCTAATACCTGGAAAGGAACACAAAGTATAGAGATTTCCAGAAGACCGATGAACAAACCAGACAAAGAACCCGATAACACTTCTCTTACATGGCCGGAGGCTGTATATTTTCTTTCAATTTCTGCGCGTTTTAGCAATTAGTAGTTATAGAGGAGAGATACAAGTCAGATACCTTTCAGTCATGCAGAGATACATAGAGGAGACAAAGATAGAGTACGCGTGAACCTACTGCGCAGGTTTCAACATGCGCTGGCCGCAGTATTGTTGTTGTTGACTTTGGGACACCGGTAGTTTGTTTTGCGTTGTATTGTGTGTACTTTTGCGTGCTGTTTGTTATTTCTGGTGTTACAGCGTAATTATTTGGGGGCGTTGTGGAGATTCGCTTACTGCAAACGATCCACACGTGTTTGAGCTTTGTTAAGATCCATGGTTCAGTATTGTTGTCGCGCCAGATACCGGGTCGCGCTGTTTCGCACCCTTATCAGTGGACCGCCTGTGATGCGGGACCTGTCTGGCGTGGCCGTAGCAGCGTGGGTGTTTGTGGGTTTCTGAACATGTCTCTTTATGTGTGTGTCTATATATATATATACATATATATATATATATATATAAGAGAGAGAGAGAGACACACACACACACACACAGCAACCACCACCCACACTAC